AATACCAACATAACATTGTTTTTAAGGGTTTTTTATTCGGTCGAGTTTTTTTTTTTTAATGCATAATAACGCCACCGCCGCGCCGTGTGGCCTGACAAATGGTCCAATGATAAATTACACGAGATTTTATTCGCGGTATACCCTACGGGCATTTCGGATATCATAAATCACACGGGCAAAACCGCGTGGTTTTTCTCCTCGTTGGGCCGCTGCGGCAGCTATACACGCGCATAAACATTTCTATCAAACGTGTGCTGCGCGAGTATAGTTATTTTAAATTACGGTAAAAACATATTCCATTAAAAGCTTATACCTATACAACGTATTATACGTACCTATCTGATATTTTTTTGTTGAAAATATTATGTAGGTTCCTCCTCCTCAACCCCCTCATCTCCCGCCGAAACGAAACGTCACCTATAAATTCAAATTTATCGACTACACAACTCGTACCTATATAAATACGTACGTTGGTACAAGGGAAGTTAAAAGTTATATGAAAAATAAAGCTCGCTGATTCTAATGATATCAAAAAAAAAAAATGTATAAAAAAAATAAGCGTTCACAACGTGTATACAATAATTTTGTTCGCATAAAAAAAAAGAAGATAAAATACACAACCGACCGTTAATAACAATATTATGACTTGTTTATAGTGTTTTAATAAAACAGCAGTTGAATCGAAAAAAAAGGTCATAAAAAATAAAAAAATGTAATTACATCTCAAATATACTTTGTCGTATTAAATTATTTATAACAATCGATGGTTTGAGTTGGGAAGATAGGGGGTATTTATGCGTTATATAACGTATTGATTTATATTAAGACAATTTTAGGCCAGTCAAAGGTAAGCGTATAGTGATGGATTTTCAAAATTTTTCTATAAGGGATCCTGAATCCTGAAAATTAAATTATATTTCAAAGGAATCTATTAATAGATGCTTCGTTTTAGTAGACATTTTATTAAAATTATATCAGTTCAACACAAATCCAGGGATCTGAACCCCCCTTGAAAATTCGCCACTGGATATGTGTAGATTTTTTGCATTAAGCCATGTATAAGTCTTATATATAACCATATGTCAAGGCAGCGATTTGGATTCATTAAATTCTTCGATAAAGTTCAATAATTCAAATATTTAGGCGTACTCCTCAGTACCTACTTAAATCCATTGGTCATAATAAGGACGCTTGAAGTGGAAGCCAGGTGGTGCATACGCACCACGTCAGAAATTATTTTTCAATTGTTTGGATTTTTTTAAATAAATAACAAAATATATTAATTCTTTCTTGGTTAATTTATTTCCACGATAACGGCTAAAATAATAGTAAATAGCAAATATGAGAAACAGACACAGTCTAAAGACATGGTTGATTAACATTTGCCGATTAAAATATGAAAATAAAGAATTCGTGGAACGGCAAATAAAAGAACTTCTTGATTAGTTTGGTTTGAGTTCTAGGCGATTGGCATTGACTTTCAATGATTTGTATAAATTCTGTTAGAGCTAATAAACAAATTTATTTATTTTTTAAATACATTTTGTTTTATTAAAAATGTTTTATCAATAAAATGTCAATTTGTGGGGGGATGGGGTTTATTATATTGACACTAAAAGTATTTTGCCACTATTGAGTTAATTCTCTGTGGTTATCCCTAACTAGTCACGTGTGATTATCGTGATTATAATAGCAAAGCCGGAAAGAGCTTCATTTGCGCTATCAAAATTCTTGAAATCAAAAACTCCATCAAAGAAATAAAAAAAAATCGAGATTACGTAATAGAACATAGAAGTACGCGGTACGAAGTAAACAGGATGATTTGTGGACCAGCTTATGTTATGATACCAAGACAAATTATCAGAGAAGGAAGTTTAACAATGAATTGTGTAAGAACGGAAGGGTCAAAAAATGCAGAGTTTGGTGTCTACAACGAGAAGAATCGGAAATAATACGGCACATGGGGCAGTTTTGGAACGGAAACAGGAAGGGTAAAGGATCTGAGACGAATCACAGTAGAAGTAGTTATACGTAGTGGAAACTAGTATCTGGATCTTATTTAAGCCCTAGGAGTGCAAGATTAGAAGAAAATAGTTTAAGGCGGGAGTTATGGAGGGATGCAGTGTTGGAGGCAAAGAGTCTAACGGTTGCCGATTATGATGTTAATATAATATATACCTAACCTAAATATATTTTCAACTTTTATGCTTGTTCCGTTATTCGTTATGCGTCCCAAATTTAATTATAATCGCGTTTAATTTCGTGAAATTAATTTTTGTCGAGTATAGTTACGTCGTCATGTACGTACACGAACGAACTCTCCCAATTATTATTCGACAACTCGTACATAGACAGAGTTTTCGTATATACTTGGCCGTATAAGTACACACTGAAATATTATTACTGAGAAAACGCTTTTAAGCATCGTATAGCTGCGGTATTATTATTATACAGTCACCATAAATCATACGAGATATAAGAGACTGCTCGACCTTTTTTGAAATAGACGAATTTAATTTTACTTAATTAGCTTGGACCTCGAAATCTAACTACCGCCGCCGCCGTCACAATCATGTTTTAAACGTTACAATATTATATTATATTATTACTTAACATCAAATCTTGAGACTAATATCGCTCTGCACAAGGTTTATAAATTTAATTGCGCGACATTATCAACGTATACCCAGTCATCGCGTCGGTCGAAACATCAAGCACGTGTATAGTTACTTTTGTGACTGTGCGCGGTAAGATTTTTTTTTAGTAATTAATAGACCAAAACTTACGTTCCTCCTCCACTTTTTAATATTATTTTTCAATCAAACTCGCTTATATTCTCAAAGTGAGATTTTAATTTACTTATTTATAACTAATGAAAAACGAACGAAAAATCAACGTGCAATTCGACGATTTTTCGCGATTAAAATGCGCGACTGATAACGATTAAAAATTTACTGTAAACATCTCTCAACTTCTTTATTTATGATATTATATTTGTCTTCGTTAGATATGCGTGTGTAGCGAAGACCTGTGTTTTGAGACTTGCACTGCCTCAACCAAAATTGATGGGTGTGAGTTGTTGTTCGCGAGCGTTCGGAAGTGTAATACTATATATTGAACGGTATACAAAATAGCGAGATTATAGTATAACCAAAAATAATTTATTACTAATTTGCTCTTCTGATTTGTATTTGTTCTTCCGCTGTCAGTCTACTCGGATTGGGGAGCGTCCTCGAGCTTTTGGTGGGCTTTAACAAAAAAAAAAAAACGGTATTTTTTGCTAGGTACAAATTGTTATAATTTCAGTCCATCGTGTTATCAAAATACGATTAATCGAACTTCACTCAGAATCGTTCTTCGTTAGTAATGATTTATCATCGTTTCATACAGGAATAAATCAAGTTACCCTATACAAATATATTTTATCTTGTCAGCTTCCCACCTATACAACAATGGAATATCCATCAGCAGCATATTCTATACAGAAAGCGTTTTCCCTCCACCCACCCTTCAGTGGTGAGGACCTCCCTCTTCTGTTCGGCACTATTCGACACTTTAATGATATTCCAATATTGTGTCACTGGTCACGTTTCAAATAGTTATGGTAGGTAAATTGGAAAAGTTTATTGTACAAATAGGTTTATAGAAATTGTATAATACTTGGTCGTGGTACAGTAACCTCTGTGCAAGTCTTCTGTGAAAGTCATTTGCATTTGATCGTATTTGACTAACAAAGTCGAATGTATAGGTAGTAGGTACCTACCTAATAAAAAATAATCGCTCTTTGAATAGGTACTACGATTTGGAAAGTTCGCAATATTATTCCTCAACAATACATATATTACGCAACAGTATTATTAATATCACTTCACAATATGATATCTATAAGAAATTATGCTATAAGTAATAAATATTTTAGATTTGGAGCGTAGCTTGAGGTTAGGTTAGGTTATTGGTTTTCCTATGATGTGTGGTTTTTTTATTTTTTTATTTTTTAGTGAACATTTTAATTTTTCCAGTTTTCCACGCACCTAATTTTTATTTGACAGGTACTCTGTGGATGAAATTAATTGACCAAACAGAAATAATTGAAAATTTAACAAATAATTAATTTCATAATAAATGGCCAAAAAAAAAAAATCGAGTGTGATGTAGTATTTTATAAGAGTTTTAATGTCAAATTGTGATGAACATTTTAAATATTACTGCCTTTCAAAACCGTAAAAACGAATTTCACTCAGCTTCACACAAGGCGAATGTTTATCGCGTTACTAACATATATGTATGTATATTAAATAACTCTATGTATTCCATCGTCCCAACTACCAGCACACAACAGTGGCTGCACCCGTCACCAGTATCAGCTCTTTTTATTTGTTTCATATGAATTTTAGATCCCGAGTGGAGCAAAGAAGTTTATGGTTTTACAATATTTATTTTTGCGTCCACGTGCGAAGTATGTCCGTCTTTTTTCATTTATTAACAAATCATAGATAAAAAGCCAATAGAAAACATAGACAATAATATGCCGAGGGGGTCACCGCTGTGTCACCCGAACGATATTTCGCGGCCGCGCGGGTGACTGTTTCAAAAACACGACCGCACATCGAAAATACCAGTGAAAATCATTCCGAATCGATTACACGATTTATTGTCGTATTGAACATACACTATAACAAATAGTAGGTATAGTTTATAACAAAATATTACCATATCATAGATAAAAAAAAAAAAAAATAAAAAAAAAAGGTTACAATTTTAATTCGTGCTTAGACTTTATAGTGGCATGGTGTTTAGGAGGATGGCGCCCAAAAGCGCGAATCGCATAATTTAGACGGCGCAAAATCGCGAATTCGCGCTTTTGGGTCGCGCACTTTTGACTTTTGACCGTCAACAATTATGAATTTATTTATTTGTTCAGGGGGGAGGGCGATGCGTAATTAATCGTCCGTGGTAGGGGGACGGGGGAGGGGGGTGTTGATACGTTGGAGAGTGTCGGCTCAGTGCCGTCGCCGATTGCTGCAGCAACCGAATAGCAAACACCGGAAACACCTTCCGACGGTCACTATGAACCGGTTCGGCGGCCGTTCGGCCGGCGCGTCCGCGCGATTGTCACCAGAGTCCGCGGACAGCGACACGACGATCGCGCGCGCGGGCGAGTCCGTCTTCGTCGAATCCCGCGGGTCCGCGGCCGGGAACACGTCCGGCGTCAACGGAATGAACGACGGACAACGGCCGTCCGAATCTTCTAGAGCTTTGCGAGCCCAGTGCGTCGACGCGGCCGGGTCTGCAGTGTTCGCCGGGCACCGGCCGTTGGCGGCGATCGACGTTAGGCCGTCCGGAGTGTCCATGACGTCAAATTAGTGGTGGTTCGGTAGTTTTCACGCGGGAGTATACATTCGAAAGGGGCAGAAAGAGGAGAAGCGAGAGAGAGAGACAGAACGTCAACGATTTTGTAGTTGGTATAACAGTGTCGTATCGGTTGTACACAAATATCGCTATTGTTAACTCGATAAACGCGCGCGATGACTATTATTGATTCCACAGTAAACGCGAACGGTCGCCCGTGCAACACATCTGCTATTCGTCTACGATTTAAACAATCAAATAGGCGTTATGAAAACCGTTTAACGCGGCAATATCATATTTCATTTGAATGCGGATTATTGTTCGGTTTTTTATTTCTGACTTTTGGGCAGAATCGGCTTCACTCCTATACGTCTGTTGTTGGTTTTCGTCTGTCTGACGCGAACAGCTTCGCAGAGAAATCTCGTTCCGATCAATAGCTACGCGAGCATTCTACGTTATTCGAACATCGTACTTCAATTTTGTTTACGGACGATTGTAATTATATTATCTATAATTTACGTAATCGGGTCTGACCCGTACACGCCTCAAACAAATTAGTTATTACTTAAACTTCGACGATGATTTCAAGTGATTTCAAATCACGGTTAATAGTCGCCGGTCGGTTTGTTGAAAATCAATTCATTCGTTGACGTTGCTTGCTTGAAGTTTTCTTAATAGTTATCGGAAAAAACCTAGAATATTTACGCAATATGGAGGGTTCCGTAGAGAGGGGGGGGGTGAGTGTGCATTAGCACCCCTTTGCATTTTTTGCCATATTCGGCCGATGTGTTATAATCGAAACTTTTATATTTTGAATACATTCGGTAATATTCATCCAAGTTAAGTCGTGCAAAGGCCCCAAGGTCAAACTTTTCAAAGAGGCCTTCGAAGTGACTAATACGATAAATATTTTATTGCCCGTCAATGTTTTTCAACAAAAGTGAAACAATAATTGATCTCAATATTCAAAAGCCACAGGTATTGTTTCAAATAAATACAATATTATTTCGGATAAAGTCACTGCGCTATAGTAGTTTCCGCTAAATAACGAACAATGAACCGTCATCGGGCAACAGTCGCGAAAAATGCTGAAAAAAAAAAAAAAAATCAGTAAAAAGTTAAACGCATCACAGGTAAAGAACGCGGGCGTGTCGAAAACCGAGGCCCTCGTCGGTGTCTGGTGGTCCGGCCGGGACCGCGGACCTCATTTCTCCCACCAATCCGGACATGTTGTGTTCATCGCCGCGTGCTCATTTCGAAACGCGCAAAACCGCGCAATTTCCGGTACCCCGCTGTCGCATAATGCACTTACACGCATTTCGCGGGACACACAACAGAGCGATTTCCTGTTTATTACTATCCGGCAATGACCAATCGAGCGGACCCGGATCGCGTGACGTTTCAATGCGCATAACATGCAATATCGATTACACAACACTGACCTCAACAACGGTACAAAATATATATTGGTGGATAATAAAATACGTCGTACGTGTTCTTTGTGTCCGCGGAGTTGCGATTATTGTGCGAGACCGGGCAGCGGCAGCCGGTGGTCGCCGCCGGTCACCCACCGGTCAGCCGCCGCCGGTCACTCGGCCGTTACAGTATTATAATAAAACGTCCGCGCGAAATATTGTCGCGAACTGTGAAATTATTGTCGTCGTTATTTATATTTATATTGAAAACGGACGGAAGAGCCCCGACGACAATCAATACAATCCCGCAATATGGCCAAACGACGCGCGATTGTCGGATCCGGCCGCGGGGAGGGGAGGAAACAGAACCGAGGCGATGCACGGCCCCGCGGGGCCGTTACCCTTTTTTTTTTTTTTTATTATTTTCTCTCTCTGCGTGTACCTACCTCGGCCTGTCGTCGCCGACCGAGCAGAATATTATTTTTGATTTATATTTCCGTATTTATATGTACGCGACGTGTTCAGTGGCTCGCGAAGAGGGTGGTGGAGGGGGAGAGCGTCCCGGGGTCGTCGCGAAAAATATCGTATACACGGCAATACAATAATAATAATAATAATAATAATAATATAATAGCCGACGTATAATTTCCGCGCGGTGCGGCGTTTCGTTTCATTTTCGGCTCCGGTGCACACCACGCGGGCTCGCGAGCGCGCGCGCGCGACAACGACGACGAGCAGCGACGACATTTTGCGCGCGTACAACACCACGGGTATTATGTTATTATTGTTATCGCCGTACGGGTATGAAAAATCGTACGCACATCCGCGTAATCGACGGACGACGGCCAAACAAAGACGTTATAAATGCGTTTATAACAGCGGCGTAACTAGGACCGTTTCGGGGAGGGGGGGAGAGGTGGAACGGGTGATACGGATATTTATCATTAGTATAAAAAAAAAAAAAAAAAAAAAACCAAAAATAAAAAACATTTATAGGTATCTCACGAATCGTAATTAACTATATTATATTGCATTTGTTACAATCATATTTTCATGTTTTCTTGGTTTTTTTGCCAGTTCATCAATAATTTCCCCAACGTGTTTAATTTGTATCTAATATATTTCAATCATCCGTTAATCTACATGGTTAGCGATATCATTAATAGCAACATTCACTACTTTTGCCTTTTGTTTTGACTAGCGAATTAGTGCATCACATTAATTATTCAACAAATATCAAGCATACAATGATAAAATGTAAATATATATAACTCGATATGATTATTAACCATTTCAAGCAAACTTAGCCATGCAATTAAAACAGATAAATAGCTAAAATGTTTGTTTTACAGAGTATTCTATTTACCCTGAGAAAACGCGTGAGCAAATATTTACAGGACATGTTTGCCCAGTCAATTTTTGTGTTATAAATTATAAAACAAGTAAAAAAAAAAAAAGGCTTGGGGGTGATTTATCACCTAAATCATCCCCTAGTTACGCCACTGGTTTATAAAATCGCGCGACATTGTCGTGGAGCGAACGCCGCGACTGCCGTGGCCGGTACGGCTTAAAAAATCGGACAAAATATCGGATTCACGCTAGTACGACGCTTGTTTCGTTGATGTCTCGATGAATCGATAATGATGAATGATGAATCGATTCAATTGAAATTTACTATACGTATTAGTTTTACGCGTATAATATTATGTTACCGGCAATATTGATAATTTGGGTATTTTACACAACACCTAGGCACCATACATATTACCAACTGGTCTTAGACAATACGAATAAAATTTAGAATACCTAGGCGTTTTACGTAATTCCTAGGCGTTTTTTTTAAAACAGCAAATTTATTCTAGGCAAAGTAAACAACATGTCTGTCGTTCCACCTATAATCTTTATAATCTTTTGACTTTTTCCAGTCTTCCACAACAAATCGAGAGTTTATTACCGATTAAGATATCTTATCATAATTGGGAATTACCATTTCGTGTATTATTTCATGTTTTAACATTGATAATACATAGGTACCGCAATATATATTACATTGCCTAATTTACTTTGAGCATTATTCATAATACTTAAAGTCATTATAATAACTGTGCATATTTCCTGGTGTTTTTCGCCATTATTCATAATACCGGATTATCAATATTGCCGCTAACATACATAATCAAATTGATCAATAGACTAATATGTGCAGGTATGTATAATATTACAGGTCGATCCGAAAACCTCAATTACGAAAATCAAAATGAGTAATTGTATTTTAATTTCTTTAAGAAAAATAATTTTGTCCGAAAAATCGGTATAAACGTGTGATTATTGCAGGCGATTATTGTTTCCGCAAAATTATTTTTACCTATCGAAATTTTATTATAATATGAGAACCATTCAGAGTTCTCCAGGGGAAGAGGCGGTTCTTATTTAACACTATAAATTTATTTATTTATTTTTTTTTTGTTTTTTATTATTATTTAAGTCACCATAAAACTCTTCAAATTACATTTGTGTAATTTGGTTGACAATTTCTAACAATTCTGTAAATCACATCAACAAATTATTAATTATTATTAAAACGTCGTCCTAGGATAATGGGGACGGATACAGCCACTGTTATAGATAATTTAATGTATACTTGTAGGCAACTATAAACCATTGTTTTCGAAATCGTTTTTTTGTCAACAATATATGTGTCATTTTATAGTAAACAAATAATTACATGGACTTTATATATTTTCTTTAATTATATTTGTTAATGTTTTACTGATTTCCCTGGTTTTCCTACGTTTTTCCTGGTTTTCCTATATTTCTTTTCCAATTTTTCATATTTGCTGAGAAAACTTTGGAGAAAATCGAAAATAACCTCTCTACAGTACCTTTCCACACCGATTTCCTTTCAGAAAAGGTGCTACACGTAAAAAACGGAGCAAGTCCTCTAGTAGAAAAGTTATCCCAAGAAAAGAAATAATGAACATCTTTGTAAAAACATAAGCTTCTTCGCTCCACTCAGAATCTAAAATTAATTATAATAATTTTTTTTTTTTTTAAATGCATTCTAGTTTTTTTTTTTTTTTGCGTATTCTTCAAGTGGCTCTGAAGTATTAACAAGTATTGTTTTAATATTGCGCATGTTGTAGGTAATAAAGAATTATTACGTGATTTATAGTTGGTGTGTACTTCAATATCAAATGGTTTATCCTAAATCCCGATGTTCACTGATAGCAGAGAATGCAATTGCCCTTCCTGTAGATTCATTGTTGCTTCCCTACACATTAAAAAAGTCTGATTCGGAGTTTTAACCCTGTTCAAATCGTTATCGAAATAACTAATCGGTAGACATTACGGTTTAATATTACTATACAGGTTACACAACAAAGCACTATTTTCTTTGTACTTTTTTTTATTTAATAAGTGAAATAATCATAAGTGACATTATGTGACATTATGACTACCATTATCGCTTTACATTCATACCTGCTTTTTAGATACATAATTTATTTTTTTTTTACTTTTTTAATAATGACATATGACTGCGTGATAAGATATTGATAATTGTGATTTCATAAAAAAAAAAAAAAAAA